TGGGAGATCAGTCACGTGAGGACATGCGGAACTAGACCATTTTCGGTCGAAAAGCAAAACATTCGGGGGTGGCGAATTGAGTGACTCAGTCTGCTGTAACGTTACGCCGACCTGCTGGAGTGGTTTCATAAACTACGCCGTATAAGTCGACTGTTATACCCGGGGTTTGGCACGATGCTGAGCGCCGCCGCCGCGGAAAGGAACAAGGAGCCCATCCTGGCGGTGCTCCGGGATAGTGTGCACACCGGGAGACCCCTGCTGGCTCTGGAGATCTCCTCCGGTACTGGGCAGCATGTCACACACTTTGCTCAGGCCCTGCCGAATATAACCTGGCAGCCATCTGAGTATGATCGCCAGTCTATAGTCAGGTAAACAAGAGATGTGTGCATGCGTATAAACTATGAAATACAGATAATATACTGGGACATCTGTGCACCTATATTAGCTGTTAATATCCAAGAAACGTTAGTGTTAATATTTATCTCTTATATTTATATCTGTTTTTTATTCATCTATTTATATCTGTGTTTATAATCGTACTTTTTATATATGATTGTCTTGTTGTATGTTGAATGAGAACTCATATTTCTCCTCGGGTCAATAAAGTTTCTCTGATCTGATCTAATGCAGGAAATTATAATTAATTAATTAATTGTGTTTTCACAGCAGTTCTTATCTGATGGAAAGTTTTATGCTTCGTCTTTCTAATACCACTCTACCTGCTCCAGAATGATGGCCTGGAGGGTTCCCATAATGTCTTTTGTTTCCATTAGTATAGAAGCATATAGAGCCCGCTACCGGCTGAACAATGTGAAGCCTGCCATCCACCTGGATGCTTCTCTGCCCTATCAATACTGGGGAGGAATCCAGCCAGAGAGCCTCGACCTGGTGCTCAACATCAACATGATCCATATTTCTCCTTTGGCTTGTACAGAGGTAGGACTGCTGATTCAGTGGTTCTCTCAAACTGTGTGGCATGGAGCCACTACTATAGGCATGGAGGACTAAGGGGAAAATGGAGTGATATGACTTATGAAGAGAAAAAAACAAAACAAAGAAACGTTTGATAATGCTATCCTGCTGACTCGTTTTCCACTGATATTCAACTTGAATATTTTATTATTTCTCTTAATTAAAAAAATAGGGGTCTGGGATTTTGAAGATTTTTCAGCCTGTTCACCACTTAAGTGAACTGTTGTCTCTGGGTTTATAAGAAAGCACCTTTCAAAATAACAAAACAACAAAAAATGCTAAAACATTCAAACAAACAGTTACTCAAAATCAAGTTAAAAACTATGAGTTTTTAGCTGTTTTTAATAGAGATCCCTGAGTCCACAGATCTCAGGCTCAGAGGGAGAGTTCCAGAGTCACCGTTACAAAAGCTCTGCTTCCTTTAGTTCTCAGCCTTGTATGATGCACATCCAACAGGTCCTGATGACATGACCTTAGGGACCTGCTGTGGTCATATGGATTTATAATTTAATCCTATGGACCTACAAAAGGATCATAAGTTAAAATGTGGTTGATTCCTTTATTAGTAGTAGTAGTAATATCGATGTATTTTGTCCTTTTCAAATGCATATATAAACACATTTCTACTAAAGAAACTCAGCACAATTCCTGAAAGGAGAAGCCTAAATTGCTAACATAGTCAAGACATTTTTCATATTTGCTTAAACTGCCTCTTTGTAACCTTTGTTGAAAAGAGACCCCTGTGACCACGAGTGGTGTAATAGTAACCTAAATGTAGAAGGCTCTCAATCTCATACATACCAGCCGCACAACACATTAACGTTAGCTGTAACTGGCTACTATGAAGTGAGGTTCAGTTATGATTAAAGCTGTAGCAGCAAAACTGTTTTGCTTCATTTTGTGATTGTTTTAGATCAATAATTTGCTATTTCTACTATAAAATTCACCTCGTTTGGCTTGACATTGTACTCATTGGCCCTGATATTTATGGTGCCATAAGTGTAAATAATACCAACTGAAGTATGCTTGCACCACAACTCTTCAGATAATCACTTTAAGCCTGCTTCTGCACAATATCTGCCTCACTTATTTCAATAAAACAGAAACCAAAAACAAAATGTCTTCCTGCCTGCGATGTGGTTCTTAAGATGTTATCTTCTCTTAGGGTTTATTCAGAGGGGCTGGAGTAATGTTGAAATCTCAGGGCCTTCTACTGACTTATGGGGTGAGTAGCAAAACGTTTGGTGTCACAAAACATGACATAGATCACAAGCCATTATCAAGTCTAAACTTAACGTGTAATAGTGACATGTTTTATTGCTTTTCTCAGCCGTATGCAGTGAATGGTCAGATCGTCCCTCAAAGCAATGTGGACTTTGACTACAGCCTACGGCAGAGGTAATGTCATCTGTATTTTCTGGCTCTTTTACAGTTTTGTTTTAAGCCAGTCATCTTACGAGGAGGCTTCGGTGGTGGACTGCCTGTCAGAACTACCAGAACATTTTCTGTTGGCCCACGGTTTTTAGCCTGCTGTGAAAAGTAAACCTGAGCAGTGATATTATAGGTCAACAGGAGTAAAGGCTCAGAATTCATGCATCATTTGCGACTCTGTCACTCTTGCTTAAATACACCGCTTTCATCACAGCATCTGAGATAGGGTGTGATAATTGACAGTCAAAAGAATGGTGGACGAGAGAGGATGAGAGTAAAAGGAGATGCAGCTAAATGTTCAGAAATAAGTGTTTGTTGATGGTCTGACTGCTGATACAAGTAGCAGATGAATTCTGAAGCGTACAGGGCTCTACTCGTCTCAGATTCATCCAAGCGATACAAAACTGATTGGACAGCACTTGACAGTGGAAATGGTTAATGAATTAGATCATACTGCGTTAGACGTTAGATTTTTTTTCAGTGGGCTAGGCCTTCACTTAATCTCAACCCACTTAAGTATGTTTTTCATTTACTGAGGACAACACAGTAAAGTAAAAGTGTGGCAGACGATGTCCAGGGAAGAAACGCAACATTTGACGATTTCTATGGGTTCTTCAGGTTCTTTCATCAAAACAACAAAAACAACACTTAATATAAAACTGTTTAATATAAAGCTTGTCTAATGACTATACATATATATGTGTGTATATATGTGTGTGCGTGTGACCTGCATTTGTGAATTGTGAACCCTTATTGTACTTACTAGTATTGATATTTGTGATATTTAAAAATCAAATGTTAGATGTCATGTTATTAATATGAATAACTCTTCCATTTGCACAGCTTTTGTAGAGATGTGGATCAGAATTTGTCCACCCTCCCACACTCTTATTTTGAATGTAATTCATTTGCCAGATAGAGACAAAATACACTGCTGACAGCACTGCTGTTCTGTTTAAAATAGTGTAGTGAGCCAGTAACATGCTGCAACAGAAAAATAGGATTCTTGTTTCTTGGTAGTAAGGGGTATATCCAGATTGCTTAGGACTCAAGACTAGAGAAAATATATATTATTCTTTTCAGAATTTGCTTTTGTTACAACCATTAACTTGTAACTGACTTATAAATAAGAAGAATAGATTTTTTCTACCTTTAAAGCATAAGCAATCAGGATTTAACACTTATTACACAGGAAGAAACACTGTGTTACATAGTGTAATATCAGTAAAGGGAATTCTTTGGCGGTTTACTGTCATAGTGAAGATGACATTGAAAATTTGGCAGCAGCCCTAAATAACACATGGATAGTCTATTGTTTCTGTGTGAGCAAAGTGTCTTGAGAAGGAGTCGGTTTGACGGCCTGAATTATTGTGTCAGTTTGCTCATAGAAGGCTTTACACAGTATAATTAAAATCAACTAAGATCATCATAGTCTTTTGAAAATGTTTTTCCTTAAGCACACAGTAGAATTAATAAACTTGTATAATTTGTGAAGCCAAACTCACAAAATACATGCAAAGAAAAAATTTTGATTGTTTTTGTAATTACATAATAAAGATAAGCAAAAGTAACCAGGGGATTTTAAAAAATGTTGTTTAATTTTGCAGAAACCCAGAATGGGGACTCAGGGATATCTCGCTCCTCAATTCTCTGGCACAAAGCAATGGTTTGTACCTGGAGAGAATAGTAAGTAATGAACCCATTTAAGCAACCAGCATATCTTAAGTCAGCATGCAAAATATGAGAACAGTTTTGTAGTATACTGATTTACTGATGCCATTTGTTTTTCAGGTGGACATGCCAGCAAACAACAAATGTCTTCTTTTCAGGAAGGAAAGTTTGGTGTGAAGCATCCTGATGCAGGATGGTCAAAATGCCTTAACTTGGAGCTCAGATACATTGCCAAATTTTCAAGAGCCGTAAACGGATCATGTTTTCTCCACATTTTAACACATGCTGGTATTAGATTAACTAAGTTAATGTAAACTGTTGTGCTCAAACCTATAACCTATATTCTTATGTATTGCACATGAGTTAAATTAATAAATCTCACAAACACGTTGCCTTTGTGCTATATATTCTTTAAGACAATGGCCTATTCTTTTTTTTGTTTTGTAAGCATGAAACTGACTTGGCAGAAGTGCTTTGAAGAGGGAAAAATTAAGAGAATATACTGTACTTTATATGAAATAAAAGACATTTTTTATGAAACAAAGATGGAGAAACTAAAGTGAAGAGCAGAAAAAAATAACATTAGCAAAAGTACGGTAATTATAATACAGATGTCTATTTGTTTAGTATTACAAGCTAGGGATGTTTGCAACATGATCAACATGTGTGTCTGTTATCTTGGCTGCTGTTTTCACAATGCAAAGTTCACAAATAAGAAAATAAATCTTAAACCTATTTGAAAACAGCAATTTAGCATTAGTATTAATACAATGGGAATCAACACATCTGGAATGTTATTATATCTGTGTTGGAATAAAAAAAAAACTCTCATACCTACATCAGCATGCAGTATTTAACTTGTTCTACTCTGTTTTGATAAATAGTTATTAAATATCAGCTTTTCTGTTGCAGTTCTGATGCTTGTCTTCATTTCAAACACATACATCACTAAAACCCATCTGTGGACAGAACGAGTCTAAGTCATAGTAAGGTGTCACAGGCCTTTTTACCCAGAGCATCATGCAGCTTTTTCAGCCTGCGTTCATTTATGGCTCTTACATAGCTGTCTGAGTGGATGATAGCCATGCCGTCCTGCACCATACCCATCACCAGCAAAGGGTTTTCCTCAACAGTGATGTTGGGACAGGGACAGCTCCAGTCTATCTTAGAAATAGTCACCTCCAAATGTTTGGTATTGAAGAAAGTCAAGCCCATCTTCTCGTCCCTCAAGACTTCTTCCAAGCTAAAACGGGCTAACCCAGAGTCCAGATCCTCAACAAGCTCTGTCAGTCGGCCCACAATAGCAAAGTCACTGCGGCATAAGCTGGGCACCATTTTCCCCTTCACACGACAGGTCTTGCAAGGCTTCCTTTTTGGTTGCGGGCAGTTGGCCTCACACTCCTTTTTGGTGTGGAAGTTGTTAGCATTCCCATGGCAGCCACCATAGACAAAGGCTTGGCACTGTTTTGTTATGGAATTCCAGGACCAGCGTGCCTCCCAAGCTTTACAGGGACCTTGAACAGCAGGCAGAGAGCAGATCCCCATGTCTTCTCTCTGGCAAGAGGCTTTGCACTCCTCATAAGTCTCAAATCGGTTTCGGCTGTCTTCGCATCCACCACTGCTAAACGTCACACAGGAGCCCAGCTTGCTGTCATAATACCAGTCAACATGACGGTCTCCACTGCACACACTCAGGTCGACTTCCGCCAGGCAATCTGCTGGAGAGAAAGGCCGTCCCATGGGCATCTCAGGATCTTCAGAGAAGTCATCATCTGACCGGCGAATAACAGACAGAGGATAGTCTGCACGAAGAACTCCTGCAGAATTCCGTGCTATACAGGTGTAGATGCCGGTATCCCAAACCTGGGCGTTATAAATTACTAGCTGTCCAATATTGGTTATAACCACATTGCCATACATCTGATCAGGCCTCATGACAAGGCGTTCACGCCGGTCACTTTGCTTTTCCCATGTTACATCTGGTCTAGGGACTCCAATGACATCGCAGTGGAAGTTGACTGTGCCTCCAACATAGATGGACTGGTGGTGAGGGTTGGAGTACAGCGTGGGAGGCATGGGATCCTCCTGGGAGGATGTTGGGGTTGGGTGAACTGTAGTGTCTTGAGGCAGGGGGCTGGTGGGAGGGCCAGCGAGGTAGAATCGACAGGGGACCACAGTTAGAGTCACCCCCCGGATGCAAGCTTCTGCATCCATATAGCAGCGGTTGAAATAGGTGAGGCCATCCGATGCACAGGTGAAGTTGGGTTCCTTCTCACACCGATCCTGGCACTTACAGATGGGCTGTCCATCCCAGATGTCACAGGTTGCTCCCTGCTGGCTGCAGATAAAGCCCTCACAGGTAGCTGTGGAGGCGGAGGTAGCATCACCGTTCCCTTCACCCTGTTCATGTGGCAGAGCAGGGGTGCCATCAGAGAAACGAGCAGCAACACAACTGTTGAAGCCACACACATTGGTGCAGCATTTCTCAAAGTCAGCACAGTCCTGAACGTACAATATAAAAAACAATAAGCATTTTAACATTTAAATGAACAAATCGCAAAATGCTGTGATGAATAAAATTAAAATTTATAGATTAACTCACCTCATCGATGTCGCATTCCCTCTCACATGTGCTTTGTGCATCAACCCAAAGATTAGCGTTCAGCTTGTTTGGACAAAATCCTTCGTGTTCAACTTTGATTCCTGCCACACTTTCACACAAAGAGACCTCGAGTAAATCGCAAAAAAGGAGAGTCAACAAATATGCACGTGTCCATCGTACTTTGCTTGAGTTTGGTGCACTATGGCAATTTGCACCCTTTATATGGCTATCCGCGAGGAACTGTAGGGGAAAATTACGCATATTTGACCTTTTGTATGAGTAGACCACCAAGTAATTCCATTCCAACTTTGGGTCTTCACAACAGGAATACGATTATTGTCGATTTTCAAATGCGTCCGCCCTTTTTGTGCGTAAACGTGCGCTGAGTCACTTTTCTTTGCGCAGAGAGAAAAGTTGTATTCCCAATGATCAACACGAGTTCCCGTGCGCTGGACATTAAAATACCCAAATGTTTCAAAGTAATAAATAATAGGCTGTGTAAAATATTCGCCTTGGTAATCAAAACTTGTGCAATACTGAGGAAAAATCGACGTGTGTTTTGTCGAGCAGCTAGACAAACGAGCTGAACTGCACAATGAGCGGACAACGCAATATCAGCTTTTCAGCGTGAGAATGGAGGTGGAAAGGGCAGTCCCTCTATCCGCCCCCATGGTCGTCCAGTGTCTCAAACTTTTATGAAGCAGCACTATGCGCTAAGCAACTGGACAAACATTGTAAAAACATCAAAGAAAACGTGTAGTCGCGGTTTCAAGCTGTCTCACCATGCGTGCACAGACATACACATTCCGGTGAGAAATCCAATGTTAAATGTGTCCAGACAGAATTTATAGAGATGGCAATTGTAAAAGAAAAAGGTTAACTTGCTGTTTAATTTCACGAGAGCCGGTAGTTATTGTTCTTCTTCTTTGCTTTTTTGTAAGTTACATTCAGATGTTATACACGTTATATTTAAGCAGGTTCCGTGCACAAATGAAAAGGAGAAAAATGTAATAAGTCGTCGGTGGCGCAAGGCGGAAAGCGTGAAAACCAAACACGGGGCGTGTCGCATCATGTCTCGCAAAACATGTTGTTCACGTCCTCCTTGTCTAGACTTGGGTCAGTTTACTACCATCCCTCATTCACGCGGAGTTCAGAGATGCCACGGTCAGGTGGGAAGACATAAAGCGCCACATTTTCATCTGTGTGCGAATCATCTTTGTCTCGCTCCAGCTCAGGGGCAATGAGAAGCAGCTCCCCTCGTCTTTTCATTGGAAATGACCCTGCAACCTTTGGGTGACATTTGACCGCTGTGCATTCATGCGCTCCTAGCCATGTTAGACCAATATCCAAAGCTGGCCAATACCAAGAGAGCAGCTAATCAATTCAACCCCCCCACGGGATTTAATGCCTCTGACCTGACAAAGAGGACAAAAATACTCCCACAATTCCCACAGTGAACTTGATAAATGTCTGAATGAAAAATTTTCCCCCAATCTAAAGCACACAATAAATGAAAATAGAAATGCAACTTAGTTTTACTCTTTATTTTGACTGTTTTTGATGGAGATAAAATAAGAATTAAGGCTTCATCCCAATACACAGCGCTGATAGCAACAATCATTATCAAACATTTACATATAGTGCTTTAGATGTTCACCCAAGAGTTGTTAATCCATTGTTCTGGTCTCAATAAATCACATAGAACAGGAGCCAATAGCAAACATGCACCAATTTTTGTAGGCCCCCCCATTAGCCGAATACATGTATTTAACCATGAAAATGCTGAAGTGGGAATTCACCAATGTTCTTTGAACGTGGAACAAAAATAAGAGTACAGATCAAAATTAAAATATTTGTTTAGATTGTTCAATTAATAAAAGAAAATATCAGTAGCCATGGTTAAAATACTTAACATCCTTTCTGAAATCTTTATCCAACCTTACACTGTGCTCGCATTATATCCACAGCACATCTGTAAAGAACGACTGTAAGTTCTTCTAGTATTCACACACATTTAACAATGCTGGGAAACTGCAGAAGTGCAACCAAATGTATGAAACTACTAAAGAATATTCCAACCACCAATTATTACAATCTCAAATATAACCACATGGCCATAGAAATGTAGGTGAATACTGTTTTACATTCAGAAATACATATCATGTATATAAAATATCTGCAAAGCAACCAAATTAAAAGATTCTTCTCACCAACGCCCGTTACAAGTTATGAAATATTAAGAACCAAGACACAAATGTTTAATGTTTTTTAAGATTAAACCCCCAAAATGAGTAAACAATCTGTACATGGTTTTGTACAAGGTTTCCTAATGAGCACAGAGCAATTGTTTAATAAGTTAACAGATTAAAACTGATCACGCTCTGGAAGGTTTAATCCAGTTAAGCAGTGATCCAAGAAAGAAAACAAGCTTTAGAGGTGTAAAATGTCAGAGCAAGTAAACAGTTGTCTGAAAAAATGAGTGATGGAGATGCAGGATTATTTCAATGGGCTGAAATTTAAGTCTTGCCAACAAGCCAACTTGGCTTGAATTTTTTCAGACAGTTTTACAGATTAAGTAATGCCTCGACTAACATCATCTCTCAGTTAATAAATCCTAAATTCTCTTTAAGCTCTTGGCTGCTTGTAAAAAGATTTTCTCATGACATTCAATCTTATTTTAAAAACTATGTGAATTTTGAATAAGTTATGACAACTGAGGCTGGAAAAAAATGTCAATGATAGACAACACTGAAGCAGGTCTCCCCAAAACATTCAAAACAAAACAAGCATAAGAAATTCCTTCCCAAGACAATCACCACAGAACAAAACAAGAGCACGTAATGTATTTACAGTTTCAAGTCAGAATTTAAATACCAATAAACCTTAAAAAAGAAGCCCCTCTATTTGTTTGTAGTGTTAACCGGTGAGTTGTAATCCTCGATTCACATGTGTTGGTCCCAGGGGAATCTTATTCTACTTGATCACAGTGAGTTGCTGTAGTAGAGTACAGGTAAACGAACATCCACAAGATGGCACCAGCACGCGGAAAGAGATAACAGAAACCAACCATCCAAGTCAGTTCCCAAAAGGTCAAGGAAAGTTCACAGCTATATCCATTGCTGGCAGGCCTCCGTACTTTTCTCTGGCCTCATGACCTCTTGGAGCAACAACACTTTTAACACTGGCTCTATGGAGGAACCATCAGTCTGCTCTTTCACTATGATATCTTACAGTTTCCTTTAGGGGACAACGACGAGCTCTTTGGAGGACTCTGTGGAGGCCTGAAGGACTTTGAGCGCTTCAGGCTGTTAGCTTTGCTTCCACCACCGCTACCACCTGAGGCGGCACTGTTAGCCACAGAGTAAGAGCGTCCATGCATCATGACTGCATTCATGCCATTGGCCATGGAGAAAGACTTGAGGTGGGACTTGATGGCCACAGGGAGGGGAAGTTTGTCAATGAGGTGCACCGGTGTGCAGGAGACGATAGAACGGCAGCACAGATCTTGCAGACTGAAGACTGTGGAAACACAGGAATATGGATGAGCACGTGTCAGAGATCTGCAGTACTTATTAAGGTTTTTCATTGTATCCATCAAATTTACTAAGCAAGAGAATATTCTGCGTAACAAGAGATAGTATTAAAGATTTTTACTCCTGCAAACTTCAGTGTAAACTGTGAATATACATAAACCAGACTATTCTGAGTAGTTTACCCAGAATTAGTATCTTAACTAAGAATACTTTTAAAATAATAATCTTATATTTTCTCCATTTGGGAAAAAACTCTTGTGTTGTCATGACATTCAAAAAAACAAACAACTACATAAAATTTAATTATGTAAATGAGAGTATATTTAATAAAACAAAAACTGTACAACAGAGAGCGTTTTAAATACAACACAAATAAAAATCTTAGTTTTCTTATCAAAGAGCTAGCTTGATTTATGTAGGGGCACAGTAGAGACTACCCCGCAGTAAATGCTATGAAAACTATTGGCAGAAATGCAGACTGCAGATGACAATATAGAGATCACTTCTTAAGTCTGATCTCTTCTGCCTTTGAGGAAAATTAATGGCTACCTAATATTTATTAGGTCCAAGTCCCTACGATAAGCAGAGTTTCACCTTTGATCAAAAAAGTAATCCAGACACAAGAATAAATGCAAACAATGATGATGTCCACTAAAGTGTATGATGTTCTGGGATTCAACACAGGATTCAGTACTGAAACTGATTTATTCACATCTGAGTAACAGAAGAAGAAATCTTGCAGCAATGCATCTACATGATCCACTTTCTGGAAGGATTTGTGTAACTATTACACAAAGAAAAACAAAACAAAATATGTTTTCTCCCAAGTCTGGTTAGAAAAAAATAAATAAATAAAAATATAGTAACGTAACCAGCTCACCTCTATTGGGCCTCCAGAATTTCTCCATCCCATGCCTCATCAGCACGATGCGTGAAAGCTCTGTGAAAGACTCGATGACGTTGAAGTTGCAGAGCGGACTGACCTCGAAGAACGTCATGCTGTTCTTTTCTGCGTAAGCTCGTGCCTGCTCCGTTGGAACCTGCCGCTTGAAAGCCAAGTGAAGCCGGTTTCCCACAAGAATCCGGGGCACACCTGGGGCATGCTGAAGGAAACAATATAATGTCACTGTAAAACTCGACCTGTAATGTGATACATGTGGACCAACATTAATAGTGGGTGCTGCAGTGATAGGCTAACTGTTGCTTGCATAAAACACTGTCTGGAAGTTCCACAGATTTACAAACCAATGAGACAGATGGTTTGTTACACAGAACCATCGAGGAGACATCCATCTATTGTAAAACCTAAAGACGTTATTATCTAGGTCCTCATAATTAACTCAACTGCCCACATCAACTGTGATTTGGCAACAAGTACATGGTTTTCAACAAGGGTTCTCTCTGGACCACCCTTACAAGGTAATAATTTAAAAATCTACACACAAATTCAAAAGTATTTTCAAACCAGGTTTCTTTTAATTGCTTGAAATGCAAGTCACTTTCTCTCCAGTCCAGTTGAGTTGTGAAATATCTGTCCCATTACCACAGGGTTTTGCTGAAAATCATGTAATGATGTCGTTGCTGTATCATCAGTCAAGTTGGGTTGTGAAACATCCGCTATATTACCACATGGTTTTGCTGAAATACTGGTTAATGTAGCTCAAGCTTAAACAAAAGTTTTCTTCAATTGAAAAACTTAATAAATAAATACATTACGCTGTCATACCCGTCATCAATGCAGAGACTGAGAAAGATGGCCTTGTCAGTGCTGCTTGTTTTCCTAAAATTCATTTTTAAATTTGCCTCTCTTTTTTTTTTTAAATTACCAATATATGTGAAGTTAATTTTGGCGCCTAGTTGCCTGAGGTTAAGGTTTGTAGCTGGCACTTGCATAACAGACAGTACATAAAGTACACACTATTAAAAGAGGTTGTAACAATTTGCCTACATAACTGAAACTGAAATGTTTATAAACAGCGCTCTGATACACACTCTGTACCAGAGATTAAAAAAAGATTTTCTCACACAGGGGACATCATGCATCTAAATGTGCTTCCAGTATTTCTTTGTACTCCAGAGATTAGCTGAAGGAAATTACCTCATCAATTTCTCTGATCCAACGGTCAATGCCATCAAATGACCAGCCATTCGTGATGTCATACACCAGCAGGATGCCCTGTAGAAGAAAAACATTTATTGATTAACATAAATATTGAATTCCACAATAAGAAAAAAAAAAAATATATATATATATTTCTAATGGCTTTTCCAGTCACCTGTGCTCCGCGAGAGTAAGACCTGAAGATGGTGCAGAATCTGCCTTGACCTGACGTGTCCCTGTTGAAGAGGCACATAAGCACAAGCTAGAAAAATAGGCCTACTCCAGGTTTGTTCATTTCTACGGCCATTACCAGCTTAAAACACTCTGCAGAACTCTTGAAATGCCTCTTATTTCCAAGAGAGATGGGAAATGGATGCAGTGATTTTTTGTAAAGTGCATACATGGAAATACAGTGTATAATATAATGAGTTTGAAAGTCAACGTTTGGCATAACCACCTTTACTCTTAAACATAGCCTGAACTCTCTTAGGGAGTATTCTAGTAATTCCTTTAGTTCAGGTATAGTTCTCCAGGCTTTTTAGGAACATCCCAAAGCTCGTCTTTGGACGCTGGCTGCCTTTTGTTCATTTCTATGTCAACATGATCCCACACTGGTGATGACAATTTGAACAAAACATCTACATTAATCCCTCCATGAGTCTTGTTGGCATTGATTTTTAGTGAAGTTCTTGTGTAATTTGGCACACATCAGCTTTATCTCCCCGTTTTCCTGACAGCCACTCTTCCACTAAGCCCATTTCAGAAGAGGTTTTGGTGTAAAATAAATGGATCAACTGAAAGGCCAAATACAATTTAAAATCACTTCTTTAGCAAGTTGTCTGTTGTGGAGACAACATTAGTCCAACCATTTAGTTAAAAGTCTTTTTAATGCTTGGATGATTCATAAATCAGTTTTAAATGGCTTGACATACAAAACAACAACAACAAACACAAAACAAAACAAAGAACAACATTCCTCTAAAAATGTGCAGGCACAAGGAGTGGAATAAACACGAGTGAAAAAAGCAGCCAGTGTTTAAAGAAAACTTTGAAAGACCCTCTGAAAGCCTAGAGAACTACTGCCAGAACTCAGGGGTTGCTCAATAATTTTTCATCATTAATATTCTTAATATTATATATTTATGTTAAAATAGTAATAATAAAAATAAAGAAATTAAAAACTTACCATAGCTCAAGTTTCACTCTCCTCCCATCCAAAAGAATTGTGGTGGTCTTGTAATCAATTCCTAATATCACACATAATCCAACACAAATCACATTACCGTTGGTCATATTTGGCTTTAAAGTCATCTCAAAATAATAAAGAAAAATCGATATTGATATTTACCACTGCTATACGCATAGGGAGACTCTACTGATCCGTCTTGCAAGCTGTCCAAGATTTCCCCCTTTCCAACATCGCTGTCTCCAACCAGTAGAAATTTCAGGAGATAATCGTAGCTCTTGACAGGACTACTCTGAGTCCCCATCATCCCACGCATTGGTTCCGCTTTACAGAGAGCCTTTTAAGCTCACCAGGCATCCACTGGAGAAACCAAGCAGTCCCCGAGTGTGGTACCGAAGGGAAGACGACCGCGGCTGGGCTTAGCTAATGAGTTAGCTTGTGCACTACTTACGATTTAAGTTAACTATTACCTTTTACTTCGCACACACTTTGAAAAATGCAGCTATTTCGTTATTCCACTGAATGCAATGGAAAAACAACCCCGCGATTTAGCACTAGAACCCCAATTTAGTTCCTGTTGATGTAACGTCAATATTAACTGATCTAAACAACCACGGGTGCTAGCTGGCTTGTTAGCTAGCCAGCTAACAAAAACGACAGTAACGCATTCTACTACAAACTACAAAATAAAAACGACTCTGTTTTGTCCTACATATAAATGTACTCTAATAAAATCAAAAGGCGATTTCTTCCCTTTGTTTATAAAGAAAATACCTACGAGGAGTATTCCACTTTGAAGCAAAACGTACATCCACAGTGTACTGTACTATGTACTATGTTGGAACTTCCTGGTAAGGAACTGCGTCAGCATCATCAACTGCGTCACATCCTAGCACGATTTAAAGTTATAAAATTACAACAACAACAACAAAAAAATAAATAAATAAATTATACTTTAAATCACCATTTCCTAAATACGATACGGTTATGAATTATCCAAACATGTGGGCTCGTAAAAAGTACGATATGCATCTGTATGAATACTATGAATTAGCCGAACATGGGCAACTCCTGCTAAGTTGTAGCCTGTGTTGATTTAGCCAGAAGCTAAATAGAAGCCAGAAGTTAAATGAACACCGTTTCCCTGTATGTAACAATTTGGTTGTGGGTATAATTTAGCTTTCAATTTGGGGAAACCACCAACAGACCAACATTAAAAACATAACAAAGAAAAATGGTGTCAAACTGTCAACCAGAAAGAAAATGTGAGAAATGTAATTGAATGTGTCGCTTATTTTGACCATGTTTAAATAATAATTAAAAAATAAATAAACAAAAAACACAAGCAAACAAAACAAACCATAAGAAAAAAATTATCATCATAAAAAACATCAAAAAGGATTAGGAAGAAGCATAATTTAACACCACCCACTTTCCACTAAAAAAAAAGCTGATTATTGCTGGCCACCACTCATTGGTTGGTACTGATTGTCATTTCTAGCAGGTGTGTGAATTCTTTCTGAACTGAAGAATACAAAAGCTGGCTGAAACACTGCTTTATTAGTTGAAGGACCAGCAGTGTGAGGCAGCCATTGGAATTTAAAACTAATAGTAGTAATGGGGCTGATGCATGCTGGGTTTTTATTTCTGCTGTTTTGGTCTGCCTGTTTTCAGTTTATAGATAAAGCTGAGTATGGTGTGTTTGGACAAGATCCTGAATTAGACCAGCAAAAAATGGAGACAGTGGCAGATGAAGATGAAACAGAAGATTCTGCACCTCAACTCAAGAGGAGTGCATCACATGGAGATCTTTCAACACCTGAAGCAATGAAGTTACCCAAGTATCTCAATGTCCCAGCCTCCTATGACCAAAAGCAGCTTTTCAAGCCAGAAAGAGGAGTCAGGCCCCTTCCTGAATGGGCCAGGAAAATATTGCTTGCTAGTGCTCCTGCTGCTCCTGTAACTGGAGGAGCAGAAATGGGCAGAGACAATGTGGTTGAAATTTTGTGCCATGTGGATAAAATGTATGTAAGAATCAGGAAAAGGGTTTTCAAATCCAGAGATGCATACAAATACTTGAACCTAGGTACATGCCCCGTTAACCAAGAAAATGAGCTCTATTACTACTTTCTCTACTCTTTTGTAACTGGCTGTGGATTCAAGAAAGAGGTTGGTGAATGTCCTAATGTATTTGTTTCATATTTTACTGTGACAAACCAAATGGAAATGTTTATGTTCCAGAGTCATGCAGATTACTTGTCCATCAGCAATGTTCTCCGCTTCAGACAAACCACTCCAGTTTTAAGGGAAATGCCATTTGAAATTCCTCTGCAGTGTCGGTTTCCCAGGTAAGACTATTTTTATTTTATTTTATTTTTTTAGATTGTAAAAGCCTTTCAATCAGCCAAGTGTCCTTAATTTTAAAATCGTCTCCAATTAATTCATTTTAACTATTGCAGGTTCTTTCACTCATACAAAGTTGGCTTCCACCCCAAACTGCGAGGAGGAACAGTTTTCAGAGCACTGAAACAAAAAAGAATGTTCAGCCTCACCCTTGTAGATGGTAAACATTCTAGATTAAATTTCATTGCTGTCCACAATTTGAATTCTTCAAATGGTAGGCCTTAAGTATGTTTTAAAGTAAAGACTTTCAAATATGGCTGGTAACACTAAATATTAAACTCCCAAAGTCTTCTATCAAAGTGGAAAGTAGCATCCAAACCTTTTTAATTCTAGGTATGAATGAGGAAATAGAAATTTGACAAGCCTTTCTGTACAAGGACATTTTTTTATTTTTTAGAAAGTACACCACAGACAAGCTTAAGTTCAAGCAAATGTTTATTTCATATACCATAACAGCTGCCTGTCTTTTATTTTGGCATGCAAATGTACACTATGGAGCTACAACAGCATCCATACTGGTGAAAGCTTAGGGAAGGATAAAATGTTCCACAAACATTTTTCAGAACTCATCACAATGCACTCAGTTAGCCAAACATATGCAGCAGCCTGATTTATTTTTGCCTTTTATTGTGCTTTGCCACTTTCACCCTACTAAAGCGTCTGGAAATAATGTCACTGGGACCAAAATCTACACCTTGGGTCAGTCGATGTACTTTGAGGCCAGTGTACTTTACCACACAGCAAGCTCTAGAAATAAAAGGCTCTACATCAACAAGTGCTTCATGACCCCTTCCAGCAACCCAGACTCAAATCCTAAATATACAGTCGTTGACAACAATGGGTAATAATTTTACAGTATCATAATTAAAACTGGGGTGACTTGCTGCGAGTGGATAAACCTGTGATCTCCAATTCTAGCTGTATGATTGATGGCAAGGTGATGCTACAGTCAAAGTTCCTTAGTGGTAGCTCGAAGATGGTCCAGAGATTGACTGTGGGAGCTGTCATCTTCAAGGACTCTGCTTCCATGATCTCATCACAGGTAGCCTCAATAGGTTGTATAGAAATGGATGCCATGAAATGCATTATGTAAACACTAAATGCGATGTCTCTTTAGGAACAGTACTTGCACTGTGAGATCTTTATGGGGTCACCTACTCCAACTCATAATTCGAAGGCTTGTAACTATGATCCAGTGACTGGAAGGTGAGTTGGCTAAACTGAAATTCTGCGAGGTGTTACTTTTGTGCTTGCTGTCATCAAATCTTTTGACCCCGCTTTTTGTTTTAGCTGGAAAGAGCTCTACGGGTATGACACTGTGTGCGCTTGTTGTGAATCAACTTGCTCGCCACCACAGCAAAGGGGTAATTTTTAAATTTACATGAGATGCAATAGCTTTTCAATCAGCTAAGCTTGGCTCATTGCAAGTTGAATGAAGTCTTTTTGATGCAAACTGACAACCACAGTCTTGCAGAACACTGAAGGCATGAAAGTGGTCTCACATGTGAGCAAATAAAATTTTAAACTTTTTTTTTTTCCCCTCCACCAGCTTCTAGGAAGATAATCTCAAGTCACTCTTGGATGGTTGACTTGCCCAGTGAAGATGAACATGTAAAGTCTGAGCCCAAGATGAAGTCCCGTGATGCTGGCATGTTCAACTTGGATGACCCAGAAACAGAAAAACATAAGGACTTCCTAAACAATTGGGACCAATAATTTAATGTTTAAATGATCAGAATTGTTTTAAAAATAGCGGCTTTATTTCTTGAACTCTGCACAGTATGCCATTTATGAATGTACAGTTTGTTTACTGTCAACGGTTCAATTGAAAATTAAAACTCTAAATTGCACTGTCGTCAAATGTTCAGTTTGCTCTTTCAGTATATTTTGCGTAATCATCAACCATCATGTATGCATTTCTAAGCATTTCCTGGAAATGCGTCATAGCGTTCCTGTACATGCAGTTATGTACCACAAGAGGATGGAAGAGATTCACTGGCTTTGCTCTGATTAATTCAGCAGGGAGTTCAATAACCTCAGTTAAAGAACTGCCAATGAGAATGTGTTTCAGTACCTTTTTCTCAAGGCTTCTTTCTATAAAGGATAGCAAGTCTCGTAACCTCGAATCAACACAGTTTGCGTTCCAGTGTCTTGGGTCTGTGGTGAGAAGCAGATGCATTAGGGCAGTTTTGAAATGAAAATCCTTCAGCGCACTACTTCCTGTCATTGCAGTCTGCCTCTTGTGAAGGAAACGTACAATTTCAAGTGCTTGAATATGACAAGCATTTTCAGGCAGGCGTTTCGAGAGATGTTCTAGGAGATGGTCTTCATAGCTGGTTAAGGATAGTCTCCAGAAAGTATCTGCATCACTTGAGGACCAAGGTGTGATGAAAAAATAAGCATCATTATTAAATGTAACCACAGGATTCATACTAAAGGTGATCTTCTTGCCTGACTTGAACCTGATCACTAGAGCACCAGGAGCATCAATATAGTGAATATTGAGCTCAAACTCATACTTGTGTGAAATCAGTCTCCATGCTTGTTTTATAGTGCTCTGAAACCATCTGGAGACCAGTGATTTTGACAAGAAAGGAGTGTTTTTTGAGCACAGAAAACCATCACAAACCTCAGTAATTTCTGTCCTTATGTTCTCATTGTGGTCAGAATGCAGCAGGCAAACCATATCCTCATCTGCATCAGAGGTCTGACAGGGGCAATCTTGGGTTTTCTTATTTTCCAAAAGTTTTATTTGACCGCACACTGGTATATTTGAAATATCCCTCCCTTTGTGGTTACAGAGCTGAATGTGAAAACTAAATGGCTTAGGTGGGGTCAAAGGGACAATGATATTACAGGCACTGAGCATCTGAAAGTCCTCAATCACCATACTGCCATTTTTACCACATATGGTCCTCATAGCATCTAGTAGGTCATTTGCAAATCCTTCCAGAAACTCATCCTTCCTCCACTTCTTTTGAGATGATTCTTGAACGTATTTAGCATAAAAATCGTTAAGAGTGCCGATGTCCGGTAGCTGCACTTCATCAGCAGCGCACGTCACAGGAGAGACTGCTATTTGTGTCATTTGGGAATTCCTATTCAGGTATTTCCAACAGAAACGGATCATGGAAATCACTGAGAATATGTTCCAAATGTACCAGAGGTAATCTCTTTCCCATTCTGCAATTGATTTCTCTGAGGTTTCATTTTCTGATGTCTTAACATTTTTAAAAGGTGTGTCTTGTCCTTTGGAACTAGATATTTCCTTCTCAGGTCTTGCATGCTGCCCCTGTGGTTTGCCAGGGTCTCCAAAAGGGTTGTCAGTATGGATATCTTTTCCCTTTAGCTCATTAGCATCTTGTGATGTCTTTAAAGCAGCCTCTGGTTCAGCATTATCATTTTTAGGCACACTTGGATCTGATTTAGCTGTGGATCGGCCCCGTAGTAATTCATGATTGGTGCCATGTCCTTCTGACTCTAAAAGTTTGTCTTTTTCAGTGAAGTTTTGATCAGACTTCTGTTCAGCATGAAAGTTTCTGTCATCTTCAGTCTCATTTTTGTCTGTGTGTATTTTCTCACTGACAGGTGGCATTTCCTGGTCGAGTTTCTCTTCCTCTCTCAGCAGCTTCTCTTCATGCCTTTGCATGTCCTTGTTGACAATATCGTCCCATTCCTCAACTCCAGGGTCATCCCTTGGACACATTAGGAGACCAAGACCCACCACAAACACTCTCAGCAGAGTTTCTTGCATCGTCAGTATTGTCTATGAGTGAATTAAATGGCAGCATTCAGTCAATTATAAAAATGCATGTGATTAATTAGTGATTAATAAAACAAAACACGACTGAATCTAAAACCTTGCAATTATCCATTAAAATAATTCAAAAACAATGTTCCTGCTAGCAAATTTTACAGTGATGCAAGAAAACAGAGAACGAAGCAACTTCCTCTCTTTACTTATTTCTTTCTGTTGTTACTTTATATGCTAAATACTAGATTACTTTTTGCACATGACATTAAAAGAGAAGAAGAATACGCACCAGAAAGTATGTTTATCTCAATAATGCAACGCACTGAATAGGTATACAGACGGAACTAAGAGATCAACCTTGCACAGCCGCAGGTTCTGTGATCTCTTCCTATTTTAGATGTAGGTTGCCTTCTGTGACTTATTTCCTGCACACCCTGCCCATGTGCTCTGCTGTGACATTTTCCTGTGCAATAGACAGAAGAAAAGATAGCACAGACTTCCTGTAAATTCAACTGCAATTTCAAAATGTCAGAATTGAGCAATTACTTTGAATCGGTTAGACAGTTTTTACCAGTAAGCAGTATGAGGTTGTTTAGATCATTTCATAGTATACTATGAAATGAACGCATTTAGCCACCTACCTTTGTTCAAATAAAAACAATGGTGTTTTATATGCATGAATAGCAGAGAGTGCCTCTGTCTTTTATCTTCTTGTGGGTTTCTAACTGGTTTGTCAAGCTCTATTACAGTCAGTGGGTCCAGGTGCTCTAAAAGAGTTATGTGAAATAAAGTAATCAATATGTGATAACATTAGTAGTTATATTTTAAAAGCGAAGCCTTCGATTTGATTCTTCTGGTTTTGATTACGCAAGTGAGAACAGGCTGAACCCTCACCTCTTAGACAATTACATTTTCCAGCCAAAGCCACAGATATTTGAATGGGTTGAAAGTGTTTTTGCATGTCTTCGTTGTTACGACTACACATTAACACAACTACACCCTCGAAGTTCGGGTTTCTCGAATAAACCTCACCACACACTGCATGCATATTAGCAAATAAAGGCATTCCCAGAAACGATGGAAACTATATGTTCCCTTTAACAGGTGTACTTTTGAGAATGTGGGGTGAATCAGAATTTGTTTTGGCATCACACTAAAGACAGGTGCCTATGAAGGGAGGGGCATGATGACAGATGATGCTGCTCGCTTTGGACAGAGAGTTCGAGAAGCACCTTTCAGTTGGCCAGGGCTATGATGATTGCTAAGTACAACAGCAAAACTTCTATTATGGACACTGTCCTTATACGATTTTTTTAAACCTTTGATCTATTCATTGACTCTTGTTTAAAGAGGTAAGTGTATTTTATGTATTTCTTGTATTTATTCCTCTATATTAAACCGATAGCCCAGTCCACATTAAAGCTGTTTTAAAGTAGAAGTCATAGTTTACAGAGATTATAATATCACTATTTAACATGGTGCCTTTAATAAATTATGTTTTATGGCCTAATTAATGAACATGCAGTAAGTTCCAAATGCTTTAAAGATAAGTAATAATCACTTTTAATAAATTTTGACAGTCCAGTGTTGTGATATTTCTCTACCTACTAAGCCTCTAATTCAATAGAAAAAGGAATGCAGAACCAAAAGTCTATTTATCACTTACTTGACTGCTTAATAACACATATAGCATTTGGCCTGATGGTTTATTTTCCCTTAAAATTCAACATTCAAATAGTTGTTTCACAGTATGGCACTCCAAAAGTTGATCTTTGCCATCTTTTATAGATTTCTATATCACATGTAAAATATTTGCAATTATTTTTTAACCATTAATAAAGATTTTACTAGAACCTATAATCATTTCTCGTAAAAATCTGATTTTATGCCTTTTTTGCCTTATCTTAAACATGTTACTGTCCTTTTTTTAACAGGTTTAAGTATTTGTGAACTAAAGACCCAACACATTTCTCAAGATGGATAAGTTTCGTATGATGTTCCAGTTTCTCCAATCCAACCAGGAGTCTTTTATGAATGGAATCTGTGGTATCATGGCACTAGCTAGTGCTCAAATGTACTCAGCGTTTGAGTTCAGCTGTCCCTGTATGCCAGAGTATAACTACACCTATGGGATCGGACTGCTTCTTATTCCTCCCATATGGTTCTTTTTGTTAGGTTTTGTATTGAACAATAATGTGTCAGTGTTGGCAGAGGAGTGGAAAAGACCCACTGGGAAAAGAATCAAGGATCCAACAATCCTGCGCTACATGTTTTGCTCAATCACACAGAGATCTTTGATTGCCCCTGCAGTGTGGGTGTCTGTCACTCTCATGGACGGGAAGAGCTTCCTCTGCGCTTTCAGCATCAGCTTGGATATTGACAGGTTTGCGAATTCCAGTGTCATTCAAGGAATGTCAGAGACGGAGAAGTTAAAATTCCTGGCACGTATCCCTTGTAAAGACCTGTTTGAGGATAAGGAATTAAGAGAGGCAGCATCGAGATACATCAAGTGTATATCTCAGGTATCCCATTATTTATTTGCAACCCTGTGTGAGTGGTTTCTAAGTATGACTTTCTGACAAAATCAAACAAGATGTGCAATTTCTCTCACCACATTTATGAAAAATATTAATAGTAGCTAAGCTGGTGGCTATATGCCATGATGGTTGTTTGGTAAGCCACTTCGATAGCGAACAAAAAACTTAACTTGTATAGCACTTTTCCAAACACATAGTTACAAAGTGTTTACCCGTTTGAAAAAAAGAAAAAAAGGCAGATACCACATGATCCAACATTCAGGCATTCATTCCAACATACACACTTCCATACAGGCAAATAGATGCAAACTATGGCCCAAATAATGGGAGAAAGATTAGGGAAAGCTACCCTCAATCAAGATTTTTTGGCAGTGGTTGAAAAGAAATCACTAAATCGGCTGAACTCGTAGGCTGACAAAGGCTGTTCCAAGGTTATAAGCTAGATAGACTCTGGTTTTAATGTAAAGCACACAGAACAAATAGGAGACCTTCATCAAATGATTTGAGTGATAAGGTCTCACCAGCTTTGATATACAGTGCAACCATAAAGTATCCTTTACTTGTTCCACATTTTTTTATGTTACAGTCTTATTCCAAAATGGATTAAGTTTATTTTTCTCTTCAATATTCTACACACGATATCCCATAATGACAAAGTGGAAAATTGCTTCAAATGTTTAGCAAATTTATTAAAAAAAACAAAACAAAAAACATAACATGCACATAAGCATTCGTAGCCTTTCCCATGTCACTCAAAATTCAGCTCAGGTGTATCCTATTTCCACTGATCCTTTGTTAGACGTTTCTACAAGTTGATTGAAGGCCACCTGTTGTAAATTCAGTTGATTGGACATTAATTGGAAAGGCACACACCTGTTAAGCCAATGAAGAGAAGCCACTGTGGGAGAAATATTGACTTCTCTTCATTGGCTCCCTGTTAAATCCGGAATGAAATTAAAAATCCTTCAACTCACATACAAGGTCTTGATTAATCAGGGCCAATCTCATCTTAAAGATCTCAGAGTACCAAACACCCCCAGTAAAGCACTTTGCTTTCAGACTGCTGGACTACTTTTGTTACGTAGTGTTTTTAAAAGTAGAATGGGAGCCGGAGAATTCAGCTTGGTTCTTCTGTGAAATCAGCTCCCAGTTTGGATTCAGGAGACAGACACCCTCTCTACTTTTAATATTAGGCTTAAAACTACTCTTTTATACAAAGCATATAGTTAGGGTTGGATCAGGTGACCCTGAATCCTCCCTTAGTTATGCTGCAATAGGCCGCGGTTACTGAAGTCATGATGCATTGAGTGTTATTTTATTGTAGGGTCTTTATCTTACGATATAAAATGCCTTGTGGTGACTCTCATTGTGATTTGGTGCTATATTAATACCCTCAGAGAGACGATTCTGTCGAGGTCCAAATGGGCACACTAGATCCCATCATCCATACATTTAAGTAGTTTGGAACCACCAGGACTCTTTGTGGAGATGGCCGCATGGTCAATCTGAGCAATCAAGGTAGAAGGGCCTTAGTCATGGAGGTGACCGAGAACCCAATAGCCATTCCACAGAAATCCAGCCTTGCTCTTTCTCTCGACCCTGACGAGATTAAACAAATATGAAATAAATATTAACTCTTTGGCCTGAATGCCAAGCAATATGTCTGGCAGAAACTGGGACAATACCATGCCTACGGTGAAGCAAAGGCTGTAAAATCTATGTACATTTTCTATTTTTATGTATTTATTCATTTTGATAAATTCGTAAGAATTTCAAGCTTTTTTTTTTTACTTAGGAAAACTTATCATTAAGGGGTGGGCAGAATTTTGTGTTGAAAATAAATTTAACGAAATGTGGAAGAAGTAAAAAGCTATAAATACTTTCCTGATGCACTGCATAAGCAGGGGCCTGCTCATGTAGAGCTTTACGTGTTAATAATAGGACTTGCTATGAAGAACTGAGAGATACAAGTGAAAAGTGAGTTAAAATAATCAAGGCGAGAGAAAATTGAAGTGTCGACTAAAAGTTCCAGATAGTTAAGGTCTGACTTTTGAAATAGACTGGACGGGATGAGTTTAGACATTCTTAGAGATTAAGATATTAGACAGCTTAGAGATTCAAACTTTAGATGTTGTTCAAAGATGATACCAAAAGCTTCTTAGAAGATGATCTAATTACCGCCGATGTGGGGCCAATGTGCTGACTGACCTCCTTAGTGAAACTGTCAGGGCCAAATACAAGAATGTTACTTTTAGTAGAATTGAGAAAAAAAGATAACATTAAATATACAAGTGTGAAATAAACAGTGAAAACACTGCATTTAGAGGATACACCAATATATCTTCATCCAAAAAGCATATTAATAGCCAAAATGGGAAACATACACCGATCAACCGTAACATTATGACCAACTAATATTGTCTTGATTCCTCTTTTGCTGGCAAAAAAAGTCCTGACCTGTGGATACATGGACTCCATTAGACCCCTGAAGTTCTGCTTTGGTATATGGCACCAAGATGTTAGCAACGGATCCTTTAAATCCTGTAAGATGAGAGGTGTGGCCTCCGTGGATCAGATATGTTTGTCTAACACAGGGGTCCCCAATCCCAGTCCAGGACGGCCGGTGTCCGTGCAGGTTTTAGATCTCACAATGGGTCAACACACCTGAATCACATGATTAGTTCCTTACCAGGCCTCTGGAGAATTTCAATACATGTTGAGAAGGTAATTTATCCATTAAAATCAGCTGTGATGGATCAAGGACACATCTAAAACCTGCAGGGACACCGGCCCTCGTGGACTGGGATTGGGGACCCCTGGTCTAACACATCCCACAGATGCTTGATTGGTCAACACCTCAAACTCT